ATCACTTGGGGCTCCAGGGAAGCTCAGCATATCCCTGCCATCAGATCTGTGAAAGGGGATCTCTGGCCTTTGAGGACAACCATAGAACCAGAGAACGAACCATTTTTGTCGGAAGGGACCTTAACACTCATCCAATTCCAACCCCCTGCCACAGGCAAGGACACCTTCCACTAGAGCAGGTTGCTCACATGTCCTAACACTGCCTTTTCCCCATGGAAAACCACTGTTGAGAGCCCCAAGAGGGCTCCCATAGGATGTTTCTGCCTGCCTGGCCTTGGCAAAATAGACATCACAGAGAGCTCAGCCCAAACACTTGCAGAGCCACTGAGCTGGATCCCTGCTCTGCCCGCTCCTAGGGGCAGGCAGGTGTGAAGATAGCCTGCAGGCACTGTACCTGAGACCAGGACTTCCGCAGAGCACAGCTACCTGATCCGGCAAATATGGGTCACAGCATTCCTGGGGTCTGCAAAGAGCCCAGGGCTGCTCTGCACGGAGCTCGGCCCTGCTCTGCCAAGCATAGTTACCCAGCAAACCTGGGAGGTGGGAAATAACCCAGCAAAGCTCCCGCAGGGCCAAATCCTGCTGCTCCCACGTCAGCGGCACTTTTGGGTACGGATACCCTGCAGCTAGGGATGGAGCTCTGCACTGGATCTGAACGAGCCAGCTCAGACACTGGGAATACCAATGAGGCAGCATGCAAATGTACTCCCTGCAACCCCACGTATCCCAGAGAAGAGTGAAAGACTGGATTTAGTCTGCTGTTACAGTTAGTGAAGATGACCAAGGCCAGGTTGGATGGAGCTTGGAGCAGCCTGGCCTAGTGGAAGGTGTCCCTTCCAAGTTGGAACTGGATGCTCTCTAAGGTCCCTTCCAACTCAGACCAGCCTGTGATTCTATGAGTAACCTGGGGGTACGCAGCCATGGCCAAGTCTGCCACGGGAAGCTGAAGCTCAAATACTTCTTGCTCCCCTAAAGCTTTTGCACTGAAGTCATTACCAACCTGTTTACTCTGCTGTTTACCATTTATTATCTGATAAACTGAGTGCTTCTCAGTTTGTGTGGAAGGACAGGGAAGTGCAGTGCTTAATCTTAATGAACACCTGGGAAGAGACGTGGTTTGGGCTGACACCGGGTCTGTTTCCCAATTTCCGTGTTCCTAAAAGGATTAGCTTTTTACACTGAGAAAACAGAGCCCCGGCGGAGACATGGCAGGGAGGAGATGCACAGCAAATACCTTGAATTTGGTTGTTTGGCTACGAACCAGGCTTTGTTAGCAGAGCGGGAAGCACGAGGTGCTGGTGGAAGGGGGTGTGCAGTGGTGTGTCCCTGTGCTTTCCTTTCCCAGCTCCTACAAGTGTTGACTGCACAGCATGGGAACACACAGTATCACAGTATCACAGTATGCTAGAGATTGGAAGGGACCTCGAAAGATCATCTAATCCAATCCCCCTGCCGGAGCAGGAACACCTAGATAATGTTACACAGGAATGTGTCCAGGTGGGTTTTGAATGTCTCCAGGGAAGGAGACTCCACAACCTCCCTGAGCAGCCTATTCCAGTGTTCCATCACCCTCACTGAGAAGAAGTTTCTTCTCAAGTTTAAGTGGAACCTCTTGTGTTCCAGTTTGTACCCATAACACAACTGGAATCATCATAGAGTCCCAGACTGGTTTGGGTTGGAAGAGATGTTAAAGCTCACCCAGTTACAACCACAGGCAGAGACACCTTCTACCAGAGCAGGTTGCTCCAAGCCCCGTCCAACCTGGCCTTGAGCACTGCCAGGGATGGACATTCCCAACTCCCTTGGGCAGCCTGTTTCAGTGCTGGACAGCAGATAGCAGAGGTTTGTCCAGACAAACACAGAGAGGCAGGCGCTGATGAAGCCGTGCTCCCCTTCACCCTTTCTGGTAGAATCCTCCTACCGCATCCTGCTCTGCAACTTCCCATTTGCTGGGCATCATTTTGGGAAACATTAAATCCCTCTGTCCTCAGCCTGGACAGGAAAACTCAGGGAAAAAAAAACAAACCAGGATTGCCTGGCTAAAAATGGGCTGCAACATTTCAGACAAGCGCCATCGGAGGGGACGTCTGAGAACCTGAAAATGGGCTTCTCACAAGTTGAATATCAATGTCTGTTGGAGAGGAGCATCACCGACACATTTAAAGCAGTATCACAAAGCTGATAAGCTAAAAATGCCAACAGCATACATATATATATATATATGGCCACATAACCTGCCCCTCTGTGAGGATAGGCTCAATAATCCAATAGGTCTGTTCCACCTCTAATTACAGTGATCCCGCAACCCGGCATTGCTAACCAGGGCTCTAAATCTGAGTTTACAGTATTTAGGAAGCATTGTCAATAATGTTTACAGTGAATTAATTACCGCCGCGATTTTAATGTCTTTTCATTAATTATAATCTTATTAACCAATTAATTAAATCCAAATATGGGCTGTGACATTGTTTGGTGGATACACCCTGGTAAGCAAACAAGCAGCATAATCATACTTCCAGCAAAGCAAATGGGCAATGAAGGAGGGATCCAGCACCAGATGGACCCATCTAAGGGTTGGATGCTTTTGGGATGCTCGCCACAGCCCATCCCAGTCCTGCTTCCTCACCACGGTCAAGGAAAACCCAACAGGGTGGTTTTTCCCTTGGGACTCTCCCAAACATGAAAAGCTTCATCCAAATGGCCCCCCAGTTCCGGCCTATTGCTGCTTCTCACCCTTTACCCATCCCATGCACCGTCCGTGGCAGGATGTTATCAGGTTTGCAGCAATGCCACATGAGAAATCTGGGATTATTTGACAACAGAGTGTGTATCCCCTGGTGAAAAGGAACAAGTTGAATGAACAACCAAACCACTTGCAAATTCAAGATCCCTTTTTGTTTTACGGCTGCCTTAGCATTCAACTGCACATGGATACAGCCCCCTTCAACAAACATTATGCACAGGATTTATTACAGATGTATACTATTTACTAGGGTTTACAGTGATATATAGTCTCTCTTCATCATTTGAGCAGTAAAGTATATTGTTCTGACCCTTCCACTCTCTCCATTTGCCTAAGACTCCAGCCACTTGATATTTCTCCAGTTCTGACATTTCAAACATGCAATGCCATATGTATTGCCACTTTCAGGTAATTATCACGTAAAATTAGGCTAGTCTTGTACATGAAACTAGCAATTAGCCAAGGATTGAAGGTCAAAGAGATCTCATTTATAGAGTCTCTAACAAAATGTTAAGTGTAAATGTGTGTCAGATGGTCCAGGATGCCGGATTATATGGGGTCATGACAACGGGTCTGAAGTGTCATCAAGCACGATGTAACCAGTCTGTTGGGCACAGCAGTACAATCTGGGACTTCTCTCTTTCAGCCTTAGCAGAACCTGTGCTAAATCTAGGACACGGCCTTAGAGGAGTTTCTGCAAAAACCAGGAAAATCACTCACAGCCCATCGTTTCCCTTGCTGGCACTGTTAAATGAGCTGCTCTTTATTACAGTGCGCTCGGTGTGACAAGCCTGGTCCTCATCCTGCAGGACCCCGCTGCTCCCGCTCGGATGAGGGCAGGTTTAGCTCCAGCCACACGTAAGGTAGGGCAGCAAGGGCTGCTGTGGCACGAGGAGGTGAGTGGAAGTGCAGTGCTGCAGCAGTGCTCTGTTGTCCTGTGTGGATGATGTAGACCTCCCTCCACCCCCAAAGAGGCTGCTGAGAACATATCAGCTACTGACACCAGCCCATCATCTCTTAATGTCATCAGAGTGGGTTATCCAGCAGGCCCAAAGGCGTTTAGGACCTTAATCAGGTGCTAATTGGTTCAGCCCCGGTGAAGATACCAGCCTTCCTTTTTGCTGATGCAGGGCCTCATCATGATAGCACCGAGGAAGGCAGAGCAAAGCTCCCAGGGACACTGTGGTGCTGGGCCAGACCTTCCTTGCACAAGCACAGCACAGGAGGGCTCCCACCACCTCCACAAGAGGACACCGAGCTTTCTGCTCCTTCCCCAGCACCTGGGAGAGTCCATTCCATGTAGAGAAGTCAGGGATGCTTCCATATGTGTGCATTTTCTACTCATTTTCTTTCAGTGTTTGCAGCTGAAATCTCTCACAAGCCTGATCCCTCTGTTTTTCCCTCCCCAAATACAATACTATCCCACTTTCCAAGTGCACTTGGGTGAACAGAGACCAAGCACCAAAGCCAAACCTGTGGCAGGACTATTGCTGAATGAGACCTTCTCCTCCAACAAGGAAGGCAACTGCACCCGAACCAGGTGTTAAACCCCCTCCTTGCATGGTTTCAGTTACTCTCACCTGTATCAATATTCATCCTTTCTTTCTGACACCCTGTCAACTCCAGAGTCCCCGTTACAAGCAACTATTTCCCACTGCACATCCACGGGGATTATGGCAGGGGATGATTTCATTTCACACACTGACGGGGAGAGCTTGCAACCTTTTCCTTCCAAGTTTCCCCCTTCCTTATCCCTCTGTTTTCCCCTGCTCTCTGACTGCCATCACCTCCTCTGCTTCTCCTCCCCTCTCCCGCTCCGGTTTTTCGCCCGCATCCCTCCCGGCTCTGTGCCCTGACTACCAATGATGCTCCCAGCCCTGCTCTGTATTCTGGCTGGCGGCAGAGGTGGGGGCACGCTCGCCCGCTCCGCTTCCAGCCCTTCCTTTTGCCTCCCGCTCAGCAGGGCCACAAAACCCTGGGAGAAGACACAAACAACATTCCCATTTTCCCTGGCCATGGCACCAGTGCTTTTCTAACTGCAACCAACCAAACCCACGGGCATATTGCACTGGTCTGATCTGGGAGCTCTCCCCATCCTTCCCTGCCTTTCCAGCTGTGGTGGTGAAGGGAGAAGGGATGCTCCTTGTGCCAACACACTGGAGGTGTTGGGCTTATTGCAGATTCACCCTTTGATTTGCCATCCAGACCCATTCCCCATTGAGGACAGCCTCAAACTTCTCTTCCCTCCGCGGCGGCTCCGGCTCCTAACCTCCCTTTCCTCCTTGAATCCCGGGTCGTAGCGGCACTTAGCTAAATGCTATAACTGCAAACAAAGTGTGACAGCTTTATTTGTAATTATACCGCGTTTAAAGGAACAAGATGAGCTTAATGAGTTAATAAAGTGCCTGCCTGTCAAAGCAGGGGCTGCTTTGCATAGGCGCCCGGCGGGGTCCCTACTCATGCATATGGAGGGGTACAGGAGGTGCCCCCGGCCATGGCAACGCGCAGGTAGCAGCCCGCGGCCAGCTGCCCCCGTCCCGGCAGACTTGTATGAAGTGAAGACTTGTGAGCAGCGAGCATTTTGTCTCCGCACACTTGACAAAACAAAGACAACTCACTCCTCTGGTTTCATGCCACATTTTTTATTCATAAACAAGCTGTTGGCTGTAAAGACATGATAAAACTCAAGCTCAGAGGAGGCTGGCGCACATTTGAATGCAAATCCTCAGCTGCTACAAATCCCTCCTATTATTCAGCTGATTTCTTTCTCTCTTTTTTTTTCTCTCCTCTTCCTCCCCATTTTTGTCTTATGCTAAGCCAGGCAGGATCCCAACCAGAGATATGTGATAAACTCTGGTCAATGCAAAGAAAGGCACCGGCATAAAAATGCAAAGGCTTGCCTAGGAGAGGGGAGGCAGGCAGGCTCTGCGGGGCCGGGAGCATGAACAAAGGGCACCGTGCTGCCGAGGGCTCCTCGGTGGCAGCAGAAGGTTTAGCTCTACATGCACAATATTGCCTGTTTGTGATCTTGTTTCACCTTTGTCTCGCCCTGGCCAGGTAGCTTGCTCCCAGAGGGAGTGCGTGGGGAAAGCCTGGCATGCCAAGAGGCAGGGAGGGCTGCACAGCAGCAGAACACCAGTAAAACCAAGAGATTCCCAATGCTGTGCAATGGGAATATCCGACAGGGGAAAAACCCTCTAAAAGACACAACGCAGATTGGTTTTATTACATTGGAAAGAAAGCGTAACTTAGTATTTCCCATTTTCACCCCCAAACCTTCCGGTGATCACAGAATCCCAGCCTGGTTTGGGTTGAGGGGACCTTAAAGCTCACCCAGTTCCAACCCCGTGCCTCAGGCAGGGGCACCTTCCACCAGAGCAGGTTGCTCTCATGTTCTAACCCTGCTCAGGGTCGATTCAGACCCTTTGCATGTGCAAAGCTCCTCACAAGGGAGGAGTTCCTGGGGCTGGTGCTACAGCCACGCATCTGGGCTGAGAAAATCAAGTCTCAGGTTAGTGCCAAGGCTGGTGCTGAGCGGTGAAGGGCATGGATGGCTCCTTAGGTCTGTAACTTAAACCCAGCTGTGCTGCTGCCCCAAACCCTGCTGGTTTAAGACCAGATGTTTCAGAGAGCCCAGCACTGGAGCCTAAGGTTCCTTTTAAGCAGGACTTGACCTGGCTCCTGAGTAGCTCCCTCCCCTTGTAGGCATTTGTGCAAGTCTTCTAACCTCATCCAGTTCCACCCCTGCCACGGGCAGGGACACCCTCCACTGGAGCAGGTTGCTCCAAGCCCCATCCAAGCTGGCCTGTTGGTGGATGTTTCTGCCAGCTCCCGTGTAGCTGGAGGAGGCCCCAGTGCAGGACATGCTTAGATGTGCATTCAGCCTTCACCCTGTGTTAAACCACAGCTTTGACCCCCTCTATCCTCCCTTTTCCCACATTTCTTAAGCTGCCTCTTTATATAAAGCAGCATCAGCACTGCCTGCTTGGCTGGGGACCTGTTTCTGCAGATGCTGAGGCCAGGAACCAGGAGAGGGATCAAGCAATGGCACCTCCCCAGCTGGGCACAGCTCCTGCTGCTCCCGCCACTCTGGGCACAGCCCAGGTTCCTGGCGTTCACAATGCGATCAATGCAGGGCCCCTGGTTGTGGACAAGAGGAGAGACTTAATTCTAATCTGTATTGACTGCTCACTGCTTTGTCTGCCAATTTGCATCATGGACTTGTCTCAAACAATGATGTGGGCCTGGCAGGTTCTCTCACAGTAATCTATACCAGCGGGTCAAAATCTCGGAGCACTCGTTAAAGTCCATCCATACAAAAGGCACGTTTAACTACTGGAAAGATGCTGAGGTGCATCTGTCTCAATATTTATCCACCTTCATCTGGAATCTGCTTAAATCCCAAGAAAGCTTTCAATTCTTAGCAACAGAAAGAGGCCGTTTGATGCAGTGGAGAGTATTCCCGTAAGTTTGTGTTGTAATATTTTCTCATGCTACCTCGTGTCCAAGGAACAGGTTAATGGAGGTGGATGGTAGGAAGGAGATGCCCAAAGAAGTAAACTCAGTCTCCTGCCTCACACTGTAAATTCCTGCTGTGATTGAGAGAACAATCTCTCAGTGTATTTTGGGTAAAGCTCTTTGGAGCTTCCCCTGTTTTTACATCCATTTCCCACCAGGTTTGTAGCTGTTGGCAAAAGCAGCTCTGGACACAGCATCCTTACTGCTGCCGTGGGGTGGATGCTGGGGCTGAGGGGCACACATGATACCCTATGGTGGGATGGCATAGTGGACTGGGGAGGACATCCCCAGCTTTGGCCACTCACAGACCCCCCAGATCCACATCCAGCCACTGCCAGGTCAGCATCACTGCTCCATCCCTGGCTCCTGATGGACAGAGCATGGACAGGAAACCCAGGCGAGGTTCTGGGTTAAGTGCTGAGCTGACAAAGACGCCAAGCTCCGGAGCCCAGCCCGGGCATGCGCTTCCATAGAGCCTGATAACACAGCGTGTCAGCAGTGTGAAGATGGAGTGATTAGGCTGGGGACACGGACACTTGTCTACACTTCATTTAAGCTCTGCCACATCTGCCTGTTTGTCAGCGGCGGTTTAGGGCTGTGGCGAGGGGGTAAGTGCGCGTTTGTGAGCACACGCACCTCTGTCCCGCTCCGTGTCCTGGTCCTGCATCCCTGTGCTAGCTCCTGAGCAGCTTTGGCTTCCCTGTGCTTGGGTGACAATTTACAGCCGCCGTGACCCTGGCCCCGGTGTTGCCAAACCCTGTGTCCAGCCAGCGCTGCCTGGACCATGACTGCAGCACATAAAGGTGATTTATAGGCAGCCATCAAGGAGAGACACTGCCTCGCACATCAGCTCCTTGCACCAGATGGACTAGCTGCTACTTCAGCCATGGGCTCGGGTGGCCAGGACACTGCCCACCTCCCTCCACTTCCTAACTAGATGGGGTTTGCCACTTGTCAAGAGGTGCCTGAGTTTTATAAATAGCTTTCTGCTCTTGGGTATTTAAGAATACAAAGCATGAGGAAGAAGGATTTGAGGAGGAACAGCCACTTTGGGCAAGAATAAATAGAAAAGCCACTTTGATCCTGTCCCGGTGCCACCAGGGCAGCAGGACAACTGATAAACCATGGCAAAGAGGTTTTTGGAGCCATGTAGGCACCATCCACCTTGCAGCAGTGCCAAGAGGGGGGACACTTACATATTCCCCATGGCTTGGCTGCTTTGGGTATCTGCCCACATCCAATGGCACAGGCTCCTTGTCAGGATGGAGCCATTGCAGAGACAAGACAGACAGCAGTCACCACCCCCCACCCCCCCCACCCCCCAGCATGGACAGCAGCTCCACGAGACACAAATATGTTAAATAATGTTTTCCCTCGCTCCAGATCCATCCTGCAGCATGGAGAAATGGCCCTGCTCATCCAGCAACCGTAGAAAATCTCAATTTCCCACATAAAAATATTAGTGGCTGGCTTAAAATATTAACATGTGGATCGCATTGCCCTCAGAAGCTGTGGGATCGGAGTTTAGCATCAGCAGTTAGACACAGATATGGAATTAAAAATGTAAGCAATGGCTTTTCAGGCTTTATCATTGCAGCAGGGAGGCCCTGCAGGATGGATGGCGGCGGGAGGGAGGAGAAGAGCACAGGGCTGGGGTTTTGTGCCATGGCTCCAAGGGATCTGCCCCAGGCTCTGCCCCACAGATCCTGTGTCACATCCCACAGAGCCCCATCCCTCTGCTCCAGCACCCGGGGGGACACCACATGCTTTAGGGTGGCCTAAGGATATACTCAGCTTTGGACCAAAGTGAGCATCCTCTTTGCAAAGGGCTGGATGCAGGCTGGGGGTCAGCACACATCCCCCTGCATCCCTGGGATATTGCCATCCCGCTGCATCCCTCCCCATGCCATTGCATGGGGACCCAGCCCTAGACCTGGTGAGGCCTCTAGGGGCTACTGTAATACAAATAATGAATAATTACAATGCTATTAAATGGGCACACGACAGATATTCCACAAGCCCTGCACGTAACACATGTGAAAGCTCCCTTCTGAGTACACAGACCTCCTTCCCTGAAGGTTTGGGCTCGGCTGATTTCACCCACAAAGGTGCTGGGTGCATGCCGGTGGGTGCCCGAGTGAAGTTGGGAAGAGCAGAGTTTGGCAGAAGGTTAGTGTCGGAAACAAAAACCCTGCACTAAATTATCATTCCACCCATAGCCTTCCCAAGGAAAATAGAAGCAGCAGATTGAGGCCTGTTTTCATATTTGATAGGGAACCAGATAAATGGCAGGCAGCTTGCTCTGATAAGGCCTTGCTCTGGGCATAACCTCCTTCTCTGAAAGCCTCTTACTATGCATAGAGTCAGGCTATCTGTGCAGCTGCACCTTGACACAAATATATCTGCACCCAAGATGAACCAATTCCCCCAGAAATTACAGGAGTGGGATTGCATCTGGGGAAGGGGCCGCAGCCACCGCTTTGCCACCTTCTTTTCTGAACAATACTCTCTTTTCCCCCCAAACAGCCTCTCACACAAACAGTTTTCCCGTATTCTCCCTTCGCATCGCTCCGTCCCCTGTGCCTGCAAAGAGCAGAGAGGGTGATGGGGATGCAGAGGGAAAGGGATTTAACCCTCCTGAGCAATCTCATGCTTGGGAATCACCCCCAAATGGTCCTCAGCAGCAGCTGGGGTGACATCAGTATAACCTGGGAGTTCCCAGGCTCGTAGAGGGCATGAACAAACGTGTGATGCTACAACCAGTGTGCCCACGCTACTTCCCAAACTCCCTCCCTGCGTGGCCACAGAGCCCAAATCCCCTCCTTTTCTATGGGACTGGCTCTTCTGTACCAAATTACTTTGGGAAATGGGTCTTGGCTCCAGAGGCCAAGGCATAAGAATAAATATCCGGAGCACCACCAGTTCCCAAAGGAAACCAGAGGGAACCAAAAGAAAAGTTGGTTACAGAGATCTGGGAGAAAAGGAGAGATATCCAAGGAAACAGCCATGCTAAGTGGGTATTGAGCAGCTTCTGACCAAACCCATATTCATTTCCAGCTGTTTATGGACACAAATAATATCCTTTCTCCCAGTTCCACTATGTTTTTATATCCAGAAGGGACTGGAAATGAGTTTTCCAGCTGCACAGCCACTTTAAGGACTTTATCCTAATGTTCTGTTTCGTGGTGACACGAGCTCCATCATCATAAGAAGAACAAATCAGCAATTAGTCTGCGACAGGCATTGCCACGGAGGTAGAACAGCCCCTAGTCAAGAGGGAGAGGGAATCCTTTTCCATGGAAAGCCCCCGGGAGCGCCGGGACCTGGCGCCTGTGACGATGATTGATGCTGGCTCTGCAGAGACGCACCACACCTCCCCAGAAAATTAAAAGCCTATTTGGTACGGTGCTAACAACGCAGCCCATTGATATTGTCTCATTACCCATCAGCACTGGGCCCTCATCTTTCCATCAGTATGGTATTAGGGGAAAAAAAAAACCATAGGACAAGCGCTTTTCCTCTTTTCTCCTCATCCATCCCACAACATGCTTGGGAAACCTGACAGTGAAGGTTGGGCAGATCCAAAGCTCCTGTATCCTTCCTTATGCAGCATTATTATTGATACTATTGGGATTTATGTCTCACTATGAGCCCTTGAAGCAGCTCTCATCCACCGGAGCCTTGCCTTTACCCAGGCACAGGGTGATGCTGGCTGCACGGCTGTGGATTAGCGCTGACCCTGCCAGCACCAACGCTGAGCACCACATGCCCAAACCACCGCAGGGATCTGCATGGAGGGAGCACACGAGCAGAGAATGGGCTTGCTCTGCAGACGGAGCCGGGGGGGAGCGGAGAGGCAGCGCTCGGGGCAGGGACACGGGGAGGTGTTTGTGAGATCCATCTGAAAACCGCAGTTGCTGAGGTGCAACCGGCCCCGCTGCCAACCGTGAAGGGCCGTCGGTGGGGAAGTGAAATATTAGAGCTTCGGGGGGTTCCCTGCCCCCACCGCTCCCAAACTGGCATCTGTTCCGTGCTGGGTTGGAGCAGCAGATGCCTGGTTGCAGCTAATGACAGCAGTAGGCTGCTAACAGATGCCACGTATCCAGCAACAGCCTTTGTCTGATCAAAACACCAAGTGCTGATTTAGCTGTAAAGGTAGCGGGGACGAGGCCTGCACCTCCCTGCAGCCGGGTGGCTCCATGCAGGAGCAATGGACTCACTCCTATCCCTTCCCCTGGTGACAGAGGAGATGCAGCTTCAGAGCCTGGCTGGACCAGAGTGTATAAACCTGCCCATCCCATGGAGCGGGTGATGCTCCAAGACAAGCATCCCTCTTTTCTACACGAGCACTTTGCTGGGGGCTAAACCTGATGCTTGCAACCACCCTCTTCTAGCTTTCCCTGCCCTATTCCCTTTGGGAGCTTTGGATGTGATGGCTCTTCCTTGCCCTGGATCTCCCATCCCATCCCAGCACGTCCCTGCACCTCAGTGCATCATTCTGCCTATGCAGCACTGACATCTCCACCACCATTAACCTGCTGCTGCCTTCCCTACCCCAAGCAGCAGCAGAGATGCCCATTTCTGCATGGGATGTTTAAGAACAGGGGCTTAAATAAAGCATC